CCGCTCCCGGAACCTCCCTTCATGAGCATACGCGTGACATCAGCATCAACTACATTGACTTCACAGGTACTGAATGTACTGCATCCTATAGATGGACAGGAGGCATCTATTACAATAACAGCCGCCTACGTGTCTACTGGACTGATACCAAGGTGGGTGAGCAAGATAGTGGAAATATCCGTGCTTATGAGAGCCGACTGGGATCGGTTTTCATGGTCGAATCCCACGCTCAGTCCAACCCTTTTGATCGAGTGCCCCCAGTTTGGTGGGAGAATAAGCCTGTCCCATTACTGTTCTACGAGTGTACCTGGAGACCTGAATCCGAACACATGGAAAGGCCCACTGAGTTCCTTGACGACATGCTTGCGGCCCTGGATGATCTTGACAACCAGCTGGTGACGCAAGCTACTATGACTACCAGCCTTGCAGTTCCTGCCCTTCACAGCCAGCTAATGACGCCACCAACCACTACTTCCAGCCCTGAAAGTCATACCCCACACAACCAGCTGATGGCACAGATGACCGTTCCTCTCCCCGAGGTTGATGCCGCTCACAGCCAGCTGATCACACCATCGAGCCATGCAGGGCAGGAGGAGTTGCAATATTCGGATTCTCCATATGGCTATGGCTTTGGAGACTTTATCGGCCAGGAACTTTTCTCGGTTTTCAATGACAGTTACATGGCTATGGACGCTTCTTTGCCATCAGCCCAAGCACCAGAATTTGATCCACACACCGAAATGTCTGAGGCGGATTTTGCGTTGAGCGAAGGTGGTTTTGAAGAGCTGCTGAATAACTCCACTCTGCAAATTAATTGGTCTTTGGTTTCCGATGAGCCTAATCCATCCTCTGCTGAGTCCGATGTGAGGCATCAGCAGGAAAGTACTGATATCGTGATGCAGGATGTCTTTGGGGGTGGTGAAACTGATGATTCGAAGACCGTTGAAAAGTGATACTGCCGTTGAGCCGTGGACTGTTCATCGATTGTTTGTTTTTTTGCCTTCTGAATTGAGCATGTACACCGATTGGATTTGCTTCTGATCTAGAGTTGTACATTAGCCAGGTACAAGATGGTACATACAGCAGTGCCCAAGCTTCATGTCCATAATTTTCCTTTACTGTGTTGTTAGCAGAGAACATGAAACTTTACTGAGGTCGAATGATATTTCCAACCGAATCAGTCGCCTGAATTTCCGGTCACCAAGTAATTAGACGTACCTATCCGATCCTTTATTTGTCCTTCATTCGTGGATTAACGATTGAAATTAATGTCACTTTGACAGTGCCGAGTCAAGGCAGTCAGCCAATAGAGGGACGGGGGAAGTCAGCTCCAGCCGATCCTTGTTGCTTTCCCCGCATTTCACCCTCGTTGTAAATCGCCCCGTTTCCCTCAACCTCAACTTAGCCTTCTCTTAAGCTATTCTTCTGCGAAAGACCCCTATCAGACTTATTTATCCAGGTGAGATGTTGACGATGATTGGTATCAGTCGATATCATCTATTAAATTCACATATGAAGCATGAGAGGCTAACTCTAACTATATCCATCTAATCTAGAGCCCTTGTATAAGAAAAACAACGCATTCCGACCGGACAAACCAGCCTCAAATCTATAGCCTTGCACGAACAGCTTCTTTCTTGGACTGTCTCGGCGGGCCCGTGGGGGTATCGCTCTTCTTCGGTGCTGAAATATAGCCTCCTCTGACGTTGTCCGCATTAATGACCAACCCCTTCTCGTCTCTCTTGATGCCGAGCTCGATCAACTTCGCGAACGCCTTTGCAAAGTGATCGAAAAACAGCTCCTTATCCTTCGCATACTTCACCACCCACTCCTGGAACTTCGGGTCCGTCTTCAGCGCGATATCCGTGGGCAGCATCATCAACATCTCGTCGCCCTCCTCCGCATCCGGATCCACAAAGACAAACTGCGACATCCCGTTGCCCAGCTTCTTCGGCGTCCACTCCAGTTTCAGTAAGAGGTTGAAGAACTGGTTGGAAAATCGCGTCGGGTTGTTGACCCACGGTCCCTCGAATCCGCTGCGGTCGGTGTGGCATCGGCCCAGGTTGTGTCCGCCCGCCAATGCGACGATCTCCTGGTCGTTGAAGCCCATTCGATAGAAGATGAAGCGGAGGTGATCAGCGCCCAGGGCGCCATCCGGTAAGCGGCCGCGTGGAGGCACCTTGGAGTCATCGACGAGATCGGTGCGGCCTGGTTGCCATGGGACTTCGGGCCCGCCCATCTCCTTGATGGCAACCACGCCGGCTAGCGTCCACAGGTCTGAGTATGTGATCCAGGGGTGTTTCTCTTTGACGGGCTCGAGGAATGCGCGACCGAACTGGAGGCCTGCGTTGGCCGGGTCCCCGCCTTCAGCTTCATAGCGCATGCCCGCCCCGTTGCTGCCGCCCGTGTCGGACTCAGCGTCATACGTGCCCGCGGAGTGCCTGGTACGGGGTTAGTTGGCAAATTGGATGAGCAAGTAACTTGAACAATGAGAGAGCCTCACCATGCTAAACGGACAAACACGGGACCAGCACTTCCGTCGTCATAATCGGGCTTTTTCAGCTGGGCGGCGATGTCTCTGCGGACAGCGTCATAATCTCCGGGGGTGCTCATCTCGGCCGATAAGTCTGTCTGGGGTAATGAAAGGAGTCTGCGCGGATGACTGATCGGTTCGGTTCCCGTGCGCCGCGGATTCTTTTTTTGCTACAGTGAGAAGGTCGAAAGATATCAAGGAGAGGAATGGAACACGCAAGATATGAGAAAATATTGAATAGGAGAAGGAGGAGAATTTCAAACTGCAAACGACTGGCATTTGCTTTTGTCTTTCTCGCTGGCACATGAAGACCGGACCGATGGCGACTAATTGAACTGTGGATCACTGGGCCCGCGGTCCAATTCCCTTAGAAGCAAAAGCCGAGGTTCAATTTTCTGGCTTGCGACCCGCGCTCTCACAAATTCTCATGACCAGTTATCGCGATGGAGACGGATTCTCGGACCTGAGTGGTGGTTCAACTGATGGCCTTAATCTTGGTCAGCTCGACGGAGCCCCCATCTTTGGCCATTTCCCCAGGTTCATGTGTCAATGGGGTCTGGGACAGGTTTTGCGGTTGTCGATAGCCGTGGCGAGGGGAGGGATTACACCTGGAAATGTGCAGGTTGTGCATTTCCAAATCCCCAGGGTCGCTCAGAGCTTGACATATGATTTCTTCTTGACTTCGACAAGCCAAATTCTTCTCAACCTCAGCATCATCGGATCGATGTGCGAGATCGCTCTGCTCTCTGGGATCAGGTAGTCGTTCGGAAATGGACCTCGGGCTGTGATATGCCGAGCATCAATTAACCGACCATGCTGAAGATTGGTAGCAGAGCGCGCTCGTTCACAAGACACCCGGTCTCACGCATGCCAATTGCTTACTGCAATGACTATGATTTCAACTTCAGCGAGTACAGAATAAACCAGACACTGGCCATTGCCGACCTCACACCCCCAAGGCCTGGGCGCCGTCTGGTCATCTTGCGAAATCACACCCGATAAATAGTCCTGATTCTGAGATCACCGCAGATCGCCGTCTCATTCAATAGCCGCCTTAATAACCGCTCCAGGTTTTCCCTCCCCGATCTCGAACGTCCTCCGCCGCGGTCACAGTTCACTTTAACCCGTTCCAATATCCATTTTCAATCATCGAACCACACCGAAGACTTGTTCGGCAACCCTTCGAATGACGGCAATTTCACCCCATGGAGAGAAGAACGGAATTCTCCTGATGGTTGCTGAATTGAGGTTCTCCATCTCATCCTCCGCGCGAATTTCAGGACGAAATGTTGATGGCCTGAGGGATTTTGTGTAAAAGGTTGGACTGCCCTGTAGTATGTTTGAGGAGTAAGTAGTGGACGTAGCATAAACGTAGTTATATGAAGAATCGTACTAGCGAGCACAAGAATATGATCTCTAGAACTAGTTAGAGCCGACTCATTAACTAGAACTAGTTATTAATAAAACATGGCACTCCGCTTCTTAATGTTCCGATGTTAGCACATTGCAAAGATTAGCCAAAGTGACGGGCCTCCATTGGTGCTTATCGCCTACTCTCCGATAGTGTCCAACGACTGATCACTTTTTGTTGTATGCTATTATGCTTAGTCTAAATTACACATCGGTGCTTCACAGCTGCTTCAATGTCAAGCCAGGAAATAGGACGTCATACCTAAATCCCCTTTAGTCCCTCTACCATAGTTCGGCGGCCAGAATCTCTCCCCTCAAGTTTGCACCGTTTGTCTCCGCGCGCCCACCCCTCATCCCCGCGGATCAAATTTCCTCGTCGCAATCGCATCTCCCACTTTTTTTTCTGGACTTTTATTCTTTCGCGTTTTCTTTTGAGCCAACAGAAAACTTCTCCACCTCCGCGCTCCGCAGCACATTCACTTCCTGCCTTCCTACACGAAACCGGCGAAAAATCCAACAACCCCAAAAAAAATGGGCCAAATTGAAGAACTCCCCGACGACTTTGACGAATCGCTCAACCTGAACGATGGCGCCGCCAACGCCGCCGCCGCCGCATCGGCCGCCGCAACAACGGAAGAAGAGATCCTGCCGATCAAGCACGAGCGGCTGAAGGATGTGGAGAGCAGCGATCCGATGGCGCCGCGCATGCCGCCGACGATGCAGGCGGTGCAGACGCACACGACGGACGAATTGGCGGATATCCTGAACCGGACGCCGTTGTTCATGACGGATATGGATAAGGCGTTGGATGAGAGTATGTCTACCCTCAAATGTCTTTAGTTATGCGTCTGGGGGGTCAATGGGAAGAATATGGCTAACGGTTGATCGAAAATAGACGGCGAGAACGTCATGCTGGATGCGATCCGCGCGCTGCAGAATGAAGGAACCCGCGGGGAGGTGGCGCAGAGCTTCCGGTCCGAGGGAAACGAGACGGCCAAGGAGAAGCGGTGGATCGATGCCAAGGAGCATTACACCAAGGCTATTGCGGTGCTGCAGGCCAAGGAGGACAAGTGGGAGAAGCCCGAGGATGAGGAGGCAGAGAGAAAACTCCAGAAGGAGGTGGAGGCCGCGTGCTACATCAACCGCGCGCTGTGTCATTTGGAATTGCGTGAGTGTCAATTTTCTCAAGTCTATTCCTGGGTTTAGGGGAGAGGGGCTGACTTGAATTGATCTGGGGGGTGATCACAGAGAACTACCGCTCTACGACCCTCGATTGCGCCGCCGCTCTGAAACTCAACCCCAAGAATGTCAAGGCCTACTACCGCTCCGCGACGGCATTGCTCGCTCTGGATAAGATCCCCGAGGCGGAGGATGCGGCGGCGCGCGGCTTGGCCATCGACCCCGAGAACAAGTCCCTGCAGACGGTGGCCGCCAAGATCGCGGAGCGGAAGGCCGCGGTGGAGCGGGTGGTGGCGAGGAGGAAGGCCGAGGAGGAGCGCAGGCAGAAGGAGGCGCAGCTGTTGAGCGTCGCGCTCCAGGCCAGGAACATCCGCACGCGCAAGACGGACGCGCCGCCGGAGATGGAGGATGCGAGCATCAAGCTCTCGCCGGACCCGCTGTCGCCCGAAAGTACCCTCGAGTTCCCCTGTGTGCTTTTGTACCACATGGACGCGCAGACGGATTTCATCAAGGCGTTCTCCGAGATGCACACCATCGAGGATCATTTGGAGTACATCTTCCCGCTGCCCTGGGATTCGAAGCATGAGTACACGATCAATTCGGTGGAGTGCTTCATGGAGACCGTCACGGGCGGCTTGATCCAGGCGGGCAAGAAGTTGCCCTTGCTGCAGATCTTGGCGAGTGGTAAGGTGGAGGTTGTGGATGAGCTGGTGAAGATCTATGTGATCCCCACGTCGAAGAAGGCCAAGTTCATCGCCGAGATGAAGGCGAGGAGATCGGGTTGAGACGTCTCGGTTGCTGATGTGAAATGAAGACATGATGGACTGTGACTCTCCGAGAGTGGATAGCCGGTCTATCCACCTGTACTGTGCACGCTCTTGAGACGAGCATTACGGTTAACAAGCCACTACAGCATCCTTATAGGCTGTTACTTCCATCAGAAGAGCACAGGATGATGACCCACGTTGCCGGGGTGCGCAGAAGCCTGCTTACCTTGGCTCGATAATCATCTGTAGATCAGGCTGAAGATCGTTCAGTACGGGCACATGATACCATTGTAGATATACACTTTATGACGAATCAAAAGTTATAGATTTCATTTGATTTCCTTGGAGAGAGTTGGTCCCAAGAGCATGTGCCATCTAAAACCTGAAGCTGCTGGGCCCACGGTGCATACCTGGAGGCAAACGGCCAAAGTAGAAGCTGTCTCCGTCGATCCTTCCTTTCGATCCTCCCTTTCTATTCCTAGTACTCCCACATTCGAGCAACAAGCCATGCACTTGCATCATTGATAGCAACGATGCTCCGGCTCCAAACCTCTGACTTATTCGGCCAGGAACAAATGTGTCTCGGATTTCTATCAGAAGGCGCTAACTTTTCACCAGCGTTGCAGAGTAGCAAATACTACCGAAGTAGGGGGGGGGGGCACCTGCCAGCCTGACCATCCGAGAGAAATGCCCATGACAACTGCTCGCATGTTGCCAGGCAATCTAGGTGTCCACGGGAGGGAGCATGGTTCCAGCTCATGCTGACTTCTATAAGCTTCATTCGCCTCTGCATGTTCACACTGCCTCCGACGATAACGTTTGCGAAGGTTGAGAATCGTGGATTCTCTGTCGATAGCCCTTTCGAAGTATAAAGCAACCTCACCCATAATAGTATCTTGGAGATTTCGGCTACAGGCTGTTGAGATCATACCGTGCGATAGAGGTAGATTGAGGGGCGTCTGCGATGCAGCAGGATTTCTATGTTCGATGCTATGGGGCTGCGGCACTGTTAGTGGCTCTTGGGAGCTGCAATACGAGGCTGTTCAAATCTACTATACCTCTGGCGCTTTTGTGAGCATTGGCTCGTCAGTATCTCTCCCTTATACTCAAGAGACTAGGCAGTACAGGAACGGAGCTCACTAGTTTAGCTGGTTCTATTTTCTGGAGATACTGGCTACCGCTGTCCATCTCCATTCAAGTCCGCTTGCCCCTGGTGGTGCTACTTTGTCTGGTCTATACAAAAGCACTTTTGGACTACCGCCCAATGGCAGCAGGAGTCATTCAATAGTAGCGATGTCTCCTCACACGGTCACCGCATGGACTCTGTATAGACTCAAGCACCCCCTCTGGTGAATTTGTACTCTATGGTCTGTCATTCACCAGCTAGTGTACTGCAGTCTCTTCTCTTGCTTCAAATCTTGATCTTGTCTGATTCAATGTTTCTTGTTATTAACTATCAAGTAGAGGGGTCAATCAACAGATCCAGCATGTTGGTAGATTGGCTCTCTTCCACTATCCACCTCCATCTCCTCCACCATACTACCTACTCAGCTTCCATTCTTTTTCATCCACACATCTGTATCTTCATAGCCCAACACAATCGCTTCTATATTCTCTATGCTGGAAACGATCCGTGACACACATCGCTTCCCCAACCACTTGTCCACAACACAAATGCCGATAAAGCATGTCCTTCGCCTGTCCGGGACTTTGATCACGGCTTCATAGAGGCATTTCGTGGTCTAGGGATCTGTCAAGCTGAGCAAAGACAGCTAGTAATTCAGTCTACCGAAGGACGACATAGATAAACGACCTTCGCTTTTGAAGTTCGAGGGCCGCTTTCCAAGCAAAGGAAGGACATTGAGATTCGCATTCCCCACAATCGCTCACTTAATACATCTTTTGACCCACCTGAATACTCCATCTTCACGCAGAGATAAGCTCTCCATGCCCAAGATATGGAGGAGATAATCGTTCTCGGCAAGAAATTGACTGCATGAGCCAACGGTTGCTATCACTGGCTTCCATGTGCATTTCTATTTCGGTATAACCGAGCGTCGCTCGGCGATTGAGTGGCCCTCTCTTCAGATACCATTCCCGCAAACTCTCGGTAGGGCTATAGTCGAATACTCCGACTACTACTACCACCACCACCACCTATCATAAACCAAGCCCACTATCAGTGCTCTCCACACAAGTAAACAGGCCAAACGGCCCCTGTTTATGCCCCGCCAGCACAGTCCACACCCCCATACAAAACACGATGCTCCCGCTCGAGCAATCAACCCCATCCTCCTCCTCCGGTTCCTGAACAATGACATATCCCATGACATCTTCATGACACCACCACCACCCCCCTTTGAACGAAAAACAAAAAAGAAATTCCCCCGTACTGGGGTTCCAACCCAGGTCTGAAGCAGGAAGCCGTTAGGTGATCCACAACCGTCGTCTCCACCCTAGACCATACGGGGTGTTTGTTGGAGGTATCCGCGCTGGCTTGAATTATCTGTCCACTTTCGCTAACTTTTCCAGCGGCTTTTGGGATGGTTGTCGAGTAGCAGATGATCTAAATGCATGTAGAATATCGTTTTGGAGATATTCTGTTACGGCGGAATGCCTTACGGGCGTTGGGCTGGGTTGTGCCTGTTGGGGTGTGGAATCGTCGGGGGAATGGGGTAGAATCGCATGGCCGGATGGCGAAACGAAGGTAGGGATGGAGATTGTTACCTACAGTTCGGTGGACGCTTTTCTGGATGACTTACTGGTAGGTGGGGAATCTGTGGTTTGGAGTATTGAGAGCGCGATGGTCGAGGAAGGTTATGGCGCTCTCGACAATTACCTTACTGGTTGGGCGGTTCCAACTAGCTCCATGGTGTCTCAAAAGCAAACAGCACTTGTGTCAAAACACAAAAACGACAAGACGAAGAAGGAAGAAAGAAAGCAAAAGAGCCTTGGAGGGTGGATAATGCCTTTGATTGCTGAATCGCGCATCACAGGCGCTATGAGCACGTTTTACAACAGCCCTAAGCGTGGGAGGTGTTGAGCAGAGTGCTTTTAGCAAGATGCGATGATTGTCGACGTGTGGTATGCACATAACTCGACAGGGATTTATGAATGAAAACCGCAAGGCCGGATGATACACCCGTGTCGCAATGTTCATATCCTAAGGTAGGTGCCACCCTTTCTTCTCCCTTCTGCTTGCGAACATTGGCTAATTTCCAGACAGGGTAAGCCCAGAGAAGAGGCCGAGCTAATGTGTGGGTTTGCGTTAAGCAAGGGAGTCACTGCATATCCCGCCGCTACTCTGCGCCTGCCTACGACGATCGATTGTCTGAGCTGGTGCGGATGAAAGCGTAAGCCTGTTCCCTAAGCCCCTACCCCATGAAGAAGCACGTGTGCTCGAACAAAAAGAAGCTTGCCCTGAGAGCAGACCGCCGAGAGGAAAGACGACGGTCAAGGCAACCGGACTATTCATGGGCTTGGACACAGCCCAGCTCAATAGTTCTCTGTCGTTCCACGGTCTTCCGAAGCTTTGCCCCCGAGCCAGATCCGATCCTGGGTCAGACTTCGAATCTGCTTGCAATCGCTCACAACGAAATAGTCCAGTTGACGAAGAAGAACCGGCGGGCGATCTGGACGCCAATGTTCCAGAGCCCGAATCCAAACTGAAGAAGCGTACCCTCGACTTTCATTCGGACTCCGACGACCCTACAAAGAACAGCCCTCCAAAGAAATGCAAGCCCATCCTCCCTACGACAAAGAAACTTAGCCGTCCCATACCTCCAAAGACGCCCATCCTTCCTACGGCTCCGAAGGCATTTCCGAAGAAACCTGTTCCTACGACTCCACGTACGCCTGCGCCCGTCACTGACTCGACTCCACGTACGGACCACGCGCACCAATCATGGATTGAGCTTGCTCATTGAGATGTGCGTAAATGGTATGAAGGTACCAGTATCTTGTTCTGGAGATTTTTTGGATAGACGAACACCTCGAGAAAGGTGGGCTTCCTTGAAGACTAAGACTCGGCAGCAAATCTGCTGTGGGTAACCATGCTTGCTCGTTGAGGTCTGCAATAAGAGCAATGCTTATCCTACCTCAGCTCCTGGCTTAGGTAGCTCTATCGATGCCCCCTTCAGGGGTTCTTTTGCAGATTCGGAGAATTCCACAATCTGCTTTTTCAATAACGGTTCATGAGACTTTTTGAGTATCAACTCGAGTCCATGTGCAGCATAAGCTCAGAATCTGGGGAGCTGCTACAGACACACCACCCATGATTTCGTCGCTTTTCTTGGTCTTTTGCATAACAAACACTTTGCTCAAGATCATACAGAGGTTGATGGCCATGATGAATGAGAAGTTCGCAGACCTTGGGCTCATTGCGGCAGGAAGTACCCTGCGACATCGCCTAAATTGCCCAATACTCTTATCTCTCGTCCTCCTGCTGAGAGTTATTACTTGATTGAGAAGCAGACCCCCAACCCGATCAAGGAATTCACTGCATAACATGCCTATGCTTGAGTCAAATTATTTATGTAGCTATCTTACTGATAGCATTGCTCACCCTTTTGCTGTGAGGACTAAAGAGAGCACCGAAAAGGATCAGCAGATGCATTAGATGAACCGAGAACTTGATCATCGGTGGTATTAACTGTGCTGAGGAACCCCAAGTTGGCCCAACTGCTAGCAAGCTTTTACCCTCTCTCGAGGTTACACCGTCATATTCAAGGTGCATCGGCTACGGAAGGTAAAAGGACTTACAAGTGAGTCACCTCGTCGACTCTAGTTTTTGCTATATCACTTCTCCCAGGCTATACCCCGCGCTGACCATCGATCAGACAAGAGTACGATGAGCGACACTCCAAACAATAGGGTCGTTCCAGCTCAACCCAATCCAACCCAGTCCCAGAACGACCCTGCCCTTTTGCCCGGCATGAATTTGCAGTCATTCCTGGGGAATGAACACCTATCACTGGTCATGCAACCGCATGTGCTCCTTCATGCTCCCACAATTGAGGCTATCGGATTACTGGTACGCTTATCAGTCCAAGTGAACACGAAAGAAGATAACAACCGGGTGGTTTTGATCACTTATACAGATAGCCCAATTATCTTTCAATGACAATGACGTTAACTCGTCGCCTCGCCAACCCACACCCTTACCTTGTGTAGACGATTTACAGTGCTATGCTTCTAATAAACTTGTAGTTTCTCCTAGCGCCATCATTCGCCTTTGTATCAAATCATGATAGGCCCGACCAGGTTCAGGATAGAGCAAGCAGCAAAGACCTGGCGAACCCCATCCTCAGAGAAATCCATCCTACTGTCATTCCGAGTTTTGCGACGAAGTGCACTGGTCAGATTGACCCGAGTGGACGCATGAAGTGGTAGGTTGAGGATAAATACCGCAGCGGGACTGATCCTTCCACACTGGGCCGGGGAAAATCCCTCGTACAGCGACAACTTCATGTTTAACATCAACACCTTCAAGCTTCCGTGTCAGCTCACGCCAATGTTGTATCAGACATTTGGTTTAATCCCACGTGCAATCCAGGCACCAGCAATGCTTAGCTCCAGATCTCAGGCTGTCACCGACTCGGTGCTGCGTCAATTACCCGACGCAAATCATGATGACAGTTAATAAGGAGCCCCCTTGCCTCTGGCATTCCGCAGAGTTGCTCTTCTCAAGAGCACTCCCTCCCCTTCATCTAGGCTGATTTTGCAGAATAATCATCTTTGATTTACTCATCATCAGACAGGATGACTCTACTAGCACCCTATCAATTTCCGCACCAGCCCCTGTGCAGTGAGCCGCCACCGCCGTATACACCATCCCAGACCCCCTCATACACCCCACAGCCACCACATCCCAGCATGCACCAGCACACACTTCCGACCTCAATATCCCCCTACTTGTTCTGTGAACAGACACCCCCACATTTGTCCCGCTCGAGCATCTCCAGATACGGCCGTTACCTTACCACCCTTAGCCATAGCGTCAACAGCACCACCTACCTTTACCGACTCTGTCCACGCTTTCCAGCCAACAGCCAACCCAGAATCTACGCCGTCAAGATCATCCCCTCATCCTCTCAGCCCCCTCCCTCTACTCAATTGTTCAAGAACAATGTACTAAACAGCAACACCATCAATCACCCCAACATCCTCCTCCCATTCCTGCCCGCAATCATCGACGATGCCGGCAATCACCACCTGATCACCCCCTACTGTACAGGGGGTACTCTCCATGAACTGATCGCATCAACAACGCAGCTCGCTCCTGCAGAAGCAAACTGCTTCTTCAAGCAACTCCTTCGAGGCGTCGCGTATCTCCACAACCACCCCAACCTCCAATCTCACCTCGACCAAACTCACATTGGACCTCCATGGACGAGCTTGACTCTCAACCCGCAGGACATCCTCCTCACCGGAGCAGGAACCGTGCGAATCAAAGTCCGGGCATTCTCCCCCTCGTCTCCCCACGCAGCGCGCAGCAGTCCATACTATGCGCCAGAGCTATACCGCGTCCCCAACAACAACACCAATATCAACGAAAACACCCCCAAAGCCCTCGACGCCTGGGCCCTGGGCATGATCTACCTATTCATGCGCACGGGCCGTCCAGCCTGGAGCGTGGCCCAGGCGGAGGAGGATCGGATGTATGCCCGGTATGCAAGGGAAAGAGCGCAGGAGGGGGGATTTGCCTTGATCGAGGATTTGGGGCCTGTAAGTGTCACGTTTATCCCCTTTCCCCATTGGCCCTTGTCCTTATCCATCACGAAAATGGCCGTCTTCACGCCGCATCGCATTGTGTATTGATCAAGGTCGGCGATGCGCCCCCCGTCAGGAACCATGTCGAAACGTCATCTACGCCATGTTAGATCCCAGGCCCCTTCGTCGGCTGACGGTCCATCATGCCTTGCGGTCAGAGTGGATATACGGAGTCGCAATCTGTGGAGCACGTGAAGAGGGCGACCTCTACCGAGGCGGAATCTGTAAACAAAGGTAGAGGGGGCATTTGCAGGATTCGTTGAAGTTATATTCCGTAGTAACCCATAGTTCTTCTTAATCGAACTGTACACCCGAACCACCGAGTCAGAAAGCGATCACGTAGCAGCCTAGTACCTACCTACTTCATGGCATGCGAATGCTACACAGTACGATAAACCCCCACGAAGGTCCTGACCAGCCGCATAAGTCAAGTCAACCTCCTGAACTCCTAGAGCACACACACACACACACACACACACATACACACATACACATATACACTTTCTTTCTCTGTCTGCCCCCCCCGACACACCTCCCAAAACCCCCAACCCCTCATCAGACCTATCTCTCTTCCTTCGGGATTTGAACCAGTCCCAAAATTCTCATTGTCCCTCTCCCCCGAAATCCAACGCACCCAATGCACCTCCCCCCCCCCCCCCCCCCACCGGCCGGAAACCCGTTCATCCAAACCCTCCGAACAATATAACACATCCAACTCCTCCGCCCAAGCACAGACATAGCAAACGCAAGACACACAGAAAAAAACAAGTTTGCCTCCCCAGAAAACCGGTTGACGTTTGTATTTACCCCTTGCTTTAAATGGGAACAGTTCGTGCTTGCGTCGCCCCGTCCTGCAAGATTGACTTACTTGTCTCCCCTCTTTTGTCCTTGTATAAGTAAGCACCGCTGTCATAGATATAAGCAATGCGTCGGGGCGTCCCAATTTTGAATCTTTCTTTTTCTTGCTCCCCCCCCCCCCCCCCCTTCCATCTCTCCATGTCTCCCCTCTGACAGAAGTATGTAGATCCAGGCTCGGGGTCTTCATTCATGAAAATCTCTCTTGGTCTCTTGATTATTAAAGTATAGTTCTATATGTACAGTGCCTAACTCTCCCGATACCCCCACCAAAACCCTTTTGGGTCCCATCGAAATTCTATACAACCGGTCCTCTAGCGATTTTCTATGCCGTTACGACCCGAAATGCACAACATAACCCAAAAGAGAGAAAGAGAAAAAGAAAAAAAAAAACAAAAGAAAGAGGTAAGTACAAATGAAAATGCCCGTTCTGCTTTCCTCCCCCTCCCTTTCCCCCGCTCTATATGATGAAATTCATTCAATATTAGAAACTAAAGTTAGTGAAGCGACCCCTCTCAACCACCCGGTGGGAGCGAGACCCAGGCTTTTTTGGGAAATTCTGTTCCACGCGTTTGATGGCACACAACAAAAGAAATGCGTTAGCGCTTGACGTTGATGTTTTTGGGGTTCAATAATTGAAATAATACGGGTTCGGGCAGCCTCCGAGATCGGTGTTTGAGAGTCCGATCACAGGCAGCGTCTGCTGCGCTTGGCTGTGAGGGTAGTATCGGAGAGGGAGCGAGGTGGTTTCGAGGGTCGATGGCTCGTGGTGGTACATGGAGCTGCTGGTCAGGTCAAGGGAGTAGCCGGCTGTGCTTTCGCCCTCGCGTGACCGTCGGGAGGCGCTGCTGCCGCCGATAGGTGCGTATGAAGAAGTTGGGGCGCTGCTGTCCCACGAGACCTGGATGGTTGGGCCTTTGCAGGGCTCGAGGGGTTTGGTGGAAATAGTCCCGGCGCTGCTCTTCGGGGTGACCGCGGAGCTGCTGCAGGAGTCGAAGACGGAGGTGTGCGATTCCAGGTCGGGGATCTCTTTCCGGTACACCGGATTCACGCTGTCCTTCATGGATGAGCTGGTCGGGGAGCCCATCGCCTGGCTATCCGCGAGCTGCTCGGGAAGGTGGACGCGCGATACACACACAACCATGGGCCCGTCTGGAGCCTTGTCAATATCTGATCCGGTCGGCGTGCCAGAGGAACATACCTATTCTGCCTTCCAGGTACCGTTCTTGCTCTCCGCGGACATGGTAGATCTCATCCAGTATAGCTAACCGTTCGACGGGTTGAATTTGTCGACGCACAGATTGATCCGCTTCTTTGAGTTTCTCGATGCAGATAGCGTGGCTTTCGCGCAACTCGCACAGGATATGCACCAGGAGTTTGACTCGCTCTGTCCATCACTTAGCGTGCTTCTTCTCGTGAATCCGTTGAATAGTCCTCTTACCGTTCTTGAGAAGGTGATCAGGCTCTCTGTGGGTAACGCCCGCTGGCCACCAGGCTGGCTTGGTGAGCTCGGGATCAAACTGTTGAGATGTGCCAGAAATGATCTTGCGTCCGTTGTACGGATAGTTGACCTGCTTCCGCGGCTCAACAAGCTTGATGTATGCCTTGGCAAGGATGCGACAGTTGATCTGCTGTAGGCCTTCGAAGGCCTTCTCATAGTATCGCCGGAGGATGCTAGCATTGCGAATAGGGAGCATGGTTTTTTGGTGGCAAGTGATACTCATCGGTACGAGACACTCATGCGACACTCGTTTTCGCTTGTTTGAGGGAGGCTCTGAGGTGTTGCTGAACCTGAAATCTGTTAGCTTCCATCATCGGCTAGGACATGGTGTTGCCATACATCGACTTGCTGTTAGGTGACTCAGGCGACAACGGGCTTCGACCTCTTGACCCTTCTACTGCCGGTGTCAGTGCATCTTGAAGTCACTGTACGGCAGCGCAGAGTTTACCTAGAAGTTTGTTCGACTCGTCCTTCCCAGACAAGGCCACGGCTCGTAGAAAGCTCTCGGTCACGTTTGGCGACAAGATTGAATGGCAGCTATCCGCAATCGAAGGTGATGCTTCGAAGCGCAATTTACCGCTGTCATCGATATAGATCAAAGCAAAGTGCAGACAGGCCAGCCCGTCTAACGGCGCATCCATTGATACCGGAGTATGAGCCTGGTGCAGTTAGCTTATGTTGCGAATCGCCACCCAGGTGAATCAGTACCATGGCTGTGAAACAGTCGAGGGGATGGTGACAAGTCAAGCTGACCAATTATTTAGACAATAAGACCTTCAGAAGCTCGCTCTGACACAGCAGGTAAGAAAGGTGCAAGGCACATAGAAGTACTCACGACGAGTCAGAGACAGGGCACGAGAGAAGGCATTTTAAACATGCATCGGAGACGGTCTGTGACCGATTTGAGGCAAATCGAATGAACGGGGCGATCAATAGATCCACAGTCTGTATCAAGCTTACAGGATCGCCCTCAATCCAAGTATCAGCTGTCCCTAGGTCGCCTCCGGGTGGATGATGCACCCACTGCATCACCATTAGCCCTAATGACCTTTTCTTCCCCAAGAAGCACCATAACGAGATTATCCATAAGAGAAAATCAGTGCTATAGAAGCTAGACCAACGGATGCATCCAAGCCGTGTCACTAATGCGTGGCCCTATGTGGCACAGCAGCGGATGGGGACCCATCCGCTCTCTTGCATTCAGGCGTGAACACTAATGCCTTTCTGCGTTGTTCCCCTAAGGTATAACTATTGGAGAGCGTAAAAAGTACCGCTCGAGTCTTCCCTGAATAGGTAAGGATCCCGTATAGCTGACAGTTCCTGGGGAACGAGCCGATGGCCGCTACCCCGTAGATGCAATTGATTCGTTTTCACAAGGTCTTTGCCATTGTCGATCCTTCACTCACCGGCACTTCAAGCTCCATTTTGCATACGGTGCAAATAATGGACGACTAGAGAGTAGCGGTCCCTCAAGCGCTGGTAGTAAGTCTATCGACGGTATTTCGTAGATTGAGACTGCCTCGAGTCGGAGTGATAGAACGGAGTAGTTCGGGTGGAGAATGGTCCTCACAAGGTACACTGCCCAATCCCGGTAATCAATTTTCGCCCATCACTTCAATTGCCTCTCTAGCGAATGATCTAATTCCGCTAACCCTCCCCTCCTTGCTTCGTGCATCGGGTGTCAGGCACTGATCGTACCGTTAGCTTCGTCCGAGAAACAACACGAATGGGCCTGTAGACGCGAATCAGTGCAATGGGTGACAACCCAGGATGAACAACGCGAGAAACTGGCTTCTTGACACCGTCGAATATTACGTCGTATCGAGGTGCCCAAGTAGTCACAGGATAGAGCCAAGTGCTGACTGAATGACCGTTCAACGTACTTACGTGGTCCCTAGCTATCTCACAGCGAAGCATCAGCCATGCAGAATGCTGATGATCATTCTGGGACAAATCGATCAGTCGAAAGTTAGATGTGTGGATCCGCCCCGGCTGGAAGTGACCCACCAAAACACTCATAGGACGGCACCAGAGCTAATCACAATGGATCGGTAGCACAACGAACTATAGAGAGTGAAGTTGCGTGCGGAAAAAAATTGCGATAGCCTAAGTGCTCATTTGAAAGCTATCGTTCTCTATCCGTAGTCGGTCCTTCCTGTCATGTCTCGTCATGAGCATTATCCCAAAGAGTTATTGGCATTTCGCCTATGCTGGTTGTCACCTATGCTATGCACATGATAGACGTCAATTTGTCAATAGACATCGCTTCAAGTAGAGAGGTCTAGACTCCAATCGTTTATTGCCACATTGCGCGACTTGGTGGTCATCGTGGATGGATGGCGAATTTCCCGAAGCGGATTATTGGGAGCCTGATTCGTCTGACGCACTGGGTAAGTACTGTACATGTCGGTCAAATGTCCGACAATGGTGCGTAGAGGCAACATCCAAGGATGAAATTGGAGTCCACGATGGGCGTGGAGTTGTTTACGGAGTACTGCACATAGTGCTGGCATTGAACATGCTTGCGAGTTTCCGAGGTTATTGGCCACGCATTCTTCCAGCTCGCCGTCGGCGTCACCTGTTATATTTGAAAACAAGGTTATGACTGGTCACCGGCCGAAGTTCCGATTCGCGAAGAATCACAAAGCTCGAATTCGCTTGGAGGATCAAGATCTGGCTTAGTACGGGGTACAGTGTGCTCAGACGACCCCTGTAATCTCCCAAGGCGACAGGACTACTCTGTATAATGGCACCATTGGTCGCTCCACGATTGGTGTGCGAGAAACAAAGACATGGCCATACTACCAGCTACCGGGCGTTCGGAAACGCCATGATCGTTGACGGGGGCGGCCCTCTCCGTTGGGTCCAAGTATGAACAAATTCGGGTTTTTTTGGGTAAGACCTCTGACGAGTCTGCTAAGTGGACTGCAGCGGGTCGCGTATTGCATATGATTAGATGACCTGTCATTCTGGCTGGGCGCTCAGTAATCATGCACGTCGGAAGCCTCCCGGACGTAGCGACTGGACTATTACACGCTCCATCGCCATCCATGGACGGTTAGCACGATTTATTAATAACAACACTTTCGTTGAGGCGAAGACATCAATCGAGTTACGGGTCTCAGCCGTCCTTCGTGGTTGCCCTCGAGACTATTGTATCACCGAGGATAGATTATTATGGATTATTGATAGATAGAGAATCAACAGTCCGACCACTACCCTACAGTGCACTGGTGGCTTTGATGCATCGTGTTTCGCATTCGGAGCATGTCTAATGGTGTATGCAACGGTAATCGTGGTAGCATCATACCGGCTCGGCACATTTTCCTAGTGAGAACTGAAGCAATTCGTCTAGTAAGCAGCTTCACTTAGGTAGGTCCTGATAGCATTGAGAAAATCATGTTAGAAATAGCTTAGTGGTTTCTTCCCATTACCTTGCAAGTTCAATTCTCTATGAAAGTAGACACACCGACCACGCCACCGGTAGGTAGGTGGTTCGACCGCTGGTAGACCCCAAGTCTGGAAACGACGTACATGTACAATTGAGCACGGGTCATCGACCTGAGAGGGCTAGTGCGAGTGAGGGATCAATTTGTGTGGGGCTGACTGGCTCCATCGGTATGACAGATGTCAGTGGCCACCCACCCTGGTACGGAGGAGAGGAGCCGAGGCTGGTTCTGAGAATGGCAGGGTCTGAGATCAGTTTCATCGGAAACCTTCGATGACCCTAATACCGGGGCTTCTGGAAGGCTACCCGATCTGCGAGGACGATCAGCCGCGGGATGCTGATCTCAAAAGTACAGTGAGTTTACTGTACGCTGTACAGACATACACTATCGCGAAAGATCGATAGTTGGGGAGTTTTTCCCGCCTCCGTCTTCACAAGGTGGATGGCTGGAACTGTCCATTGTCCGTACTTGGCCTCGAGTTCTTCGTAGTGTCCGTATATTTGAAGCAATAAAGGTGGCATGCGTGCTTCGCCCTCGATTGGCGGGCTCACCCTGCGGGTCAAAAGATAATGTGCACTTTGAGAGCAGTAGATAGTGGAGAGGAGAGAGGTGAGGGAGAGGGAGAGATGAAGGCTGGAGCTTTCAATTACACAGTCAAGAGCAGTGACTCGACCATGGACTGTGCCTGTGCCTTCCGAACGAGGCAGAAGGCAAACCACCCATTGGGTGCCTTAGGTGCACACGGTTGTTTGGTACAAAAATTACTCCGTATCCCTCTTACATAGCCGATATGCCTGTAACTGTGTATGTTACGCTAATAATACAGCCACCAATTATGAAGATGTCAGCTACAGGTTGTCCCAGGTTGTCCCGAGTCGTGTATCAACCGACCACTAAACGACATTATACCTAAACTAAGTATCGTACTCTACTCACATAACTCGATCGATTATCCATTTATGAAATTTGTCAACAACTAACCGAGTGACTAACTAAGAAGATAGTACCTAGGCGACCTGTGCTGCCACTGGGTGTGGATTTTCCCACCACTCACTCTTGGAACCCCACCAGCCGGCCCGCCCGGACGAATGGTAAGCCATGTGTTATCATCCAATCGTTCGCAGGCTGATCAGTCTGAATCCGGCCAGCAAATCTCTTCCCGAGTCCTGACCCTTTTCCCTCTTCCACTGTTCGCACTGCCCTTCGATCCATGACTGACTGACTGACTGTCTGTCTGTCTGTCATTCTTCTACCCCGACTATTGCTATTATCTATTCTTTTTCCTGCATACCGCATTTATTCCCTTTGGGCTTAAGCTGTCAGCTTGCTCCTCTCGCCCACCTACACCCCCAGTGGTCGCCTTTTTTTCGCTCCCCTGGTCTCCTCCTCCACCCCCTCGATCCTCCTCTCCTCCCTCCCCTTTCAGTCGGTCTGCCTCTCTGTCGTGTCCCCTCCATCGACCCAATCAAACGCCCCCTCCTTTCCCATCGTCTCTCCTCTAATCTTAAATTGACCTTGGTGATTTTCTTGCATTTTTATTTGCTCCTAATTTCCCCTCAGTCTCGATTCCGTGGATTGTTCCAGAAAACCCCATAGGCAATTAAAGCCACCGTTCACAGGCCACTAAGGCGTTAGGGACCCGGGCTTAGTGTCGCATTTCCGTCCATCCCTGGATTCCCGCGAGTCAGAGAACTGCTCCCAACTCTGACACTGACTTTCTACGGACGTGTTCCGACGAAGGTTTATTTCTTTTTAAAAAAAAAACAAAAAAACAAAAAAAAATTGTTCGATTTCTCGCCCAGAATAAAAAAGAATAAACAAACCAAAAAGAGAGAGAAAGAGAGGGGAACGGAAGCTTGGGACTCCCCGTCCAGCAGTTTTCTCTCACATCATTCATCAGCCATGGACTCGAATAATTCTTCCGGCTTCCCAGCTGCGATGCAGCAGACCGCGGCTTTTCCTGTCACGACTCAAAGTCCTCAACAGTTCCCTTACTATCCAAATGCCATGCCCTCATTTCCCCAGCCTAAGTCTACACCTCCCTCTCATATGACTCCTCAGCAACACTTACCGCATTCTTTCAATTCCGTGCCTATGCAGGCCGGCCCCGGTGGAGCAATGATGCCGACTGGCTTTCCCCAGCAATCACAAGGTACGTTGTCATCACCACATTGTCATGGGGAGTGGTACTCTCCTAATGCCATTCTTATCTGATTTGCCCATCCTCGATACTTCAATACTTCCTGTGACCTCTTTTGTACCCCCGTTATCCCTCCTCTCCCGCCTCCCCTCTCCCCTTATTGCTTCCCCACCCACTGGGCCTCCTTAGATCAACAAATGCTTCGTCGCATTGGACATCATTTCCAATAGCGACTCTACCGCATCTGACCTGGTCTGGTTGCGTTCTCGCTACGTTACAGGACCAATGGTTGGGCGGATCTCCACTATCGTGTCACCTCTTGTCACCCTAGTTGCCTTTTAGCTGTTGTCGCTCATGGAGCTACACTGGGCTGCTAGCCCAAGTGTCTCAAGTTAGACACAATGTCGGCTGCAGGGACAAGCCGCTAATCAACGGGATGGACTTGCAGGACCCCACGCCAACTTCGCGGCGCCATTTGCCCAGCCACCTGTCCCGACTTCGATGAGCCAATTTCTTCCTCCCCAGGCGACCTCAGCTGCTGCGGTTTCTGGCACTGCTGCACAATCATTTCCTTCCAACATGGCCTCAATTCCCTCGACCAACATGATTTCAGCGCAGCAACCGAGACCGACCCCGCAACCCAACCCAGTGCCAAATTCGTCTCCTTCTGCCCCCCAGTCGCCTGCCGCGGCTGCTCGAGAGAAGGCCCGGGTGACAGTTCTTCTGGATATCAATTCGATGCTGCTGCAGGAAGTCATAAATCTTCAGGCAGCCGGCAAGGCTGGGATTGCGCCTACTCCGCAGGGCTCTCAAGAGTCCAACTCGTCTCCGACCTCGGAGCAGACTCCCGACAAATCTAACCAGCGCCCAAGCCCGGAGTATGTCGAATGTATGCGACGATTGCAAGCCAACCTGGGTTATTTGGCAACCGTGGCCGACCGAGCTAAGAAGTCTGGTGGTGTTGCTCCTGGTGGCCCTGCCATCATGACACCTCCACCACATATGCCCTCAATGGCCGATCTCTACAACCGACTCAGTGAATTATGTCCTCGTTCGACACAAGGTAGCATGGGAACACCTCAGCCTAGTCCCCAGGCCCTACAAGGAAACGGGCGACCCAGCCCTTCCCCCGCTACCGAGACAGTCGTCTGAAAACCCACCCTTGGATAGGCAGAGCAACTAGACCCTGCAGATGACCGAGGGCACCTTGGCGACGGGCGCAAGTGTCGCCCTTGAACAAAAGTTTTCATTGAAGACTAAGACTTCTACAACGGATTGGAAGCTTCCCTGTCCCTTCTGTCACGTAGTGGAAGCTAGTATCGACATGAATTGCGATACATAGGGTACTAGTTTGAACTAGTGCTGACTGCGAACATCACACTATGATCTCTGGACCGGACTTCGTCGACCAGCGCCAATTCGACACCAAACAAGGGATGATATGAGCTCTCCCTGTAGGAGAACGCGTCTCCGCGGATTGATTGTCCCAGACAACATGGTGAACTTCATGAAGTCGGGCAAGCAATTAGAATCTTGGATCAGGCACAATGATAGCTAGAACTGGGTGGAGGACTGCAGTGATTGCCACCAGATGCCCGGGTTTGAGGTAGAGAAGACATAGTAGGGAAGGGAGGCAGCCTTCAAGTGTACTATAGCCACGCATTGATAGAGATGTAGATAGGTTCCACTGCCACCACTACAATTACTATTCTGAATATATGCATACGCGTTGACCCTGTCAGGTTTCTCCCAGCGCTAATCCACCTGATCTGGTCATCAGACTCTGTTGCTGCAGCTCCACGGGCGGTGGAGGGTGGATGGCCAATCAGTCGACAGCCTTCCTCTGACCGCCCACATGAGCTTTTCTGCCTCAAGTCAGTTCTCCGCCCTGCAGTTCGTCATTCTTTCAGCTTTTCCCCCCTCCTCCATTTCTCATTTCCTGCAACGGTCTTTGTCGCTCGAGGACCTTGTGAATGTCTTGCGTCTCGCTCCGACTCTACAGAAGGAGCTTACTGTCTGTCGCTACTAGCCACACACCCAAAACTACCATCGCTCTCTTTACTGTAGCTGCCGCTACCTCT